CTTATACACTCAGATAATGCAAGAGATGTATAATTTATATATAACTGATTATTCAGGCTGTAAACAACTGTATAGAATAATCTTCTGAGAGTTCTACTGACCTGAGATATTAAACAGTATCAGACACTTTATCTGAAACTGCAATTACTGTTCTTCTATTATCTTATAAAAGAACTGTAGAAAAGATCTATTAAAATCACTTAATATCTCTGATAGAATCTGACAAGATATAGCAATTAACTTCACTATTAATCTATTTAAAAATAAGAGTTGTAGAAACATTCTGATCATTGTGAATTAACTGAGTAAAGATATAATATTGAAATCTTGTAATAAGATAAATACTGAATAAGTCACTGAAGCTTTTCTACAGAGCTCATTCTATCAGATGCATAGATTGTCAAGATCTATAGTATCAGATCAGAGCTGTCAATTCATGAGCACTCTCTGAACAAGAATCTGTTAAGTTCTCAAGATTATATATCATCTATTAACTGTTTATCACTCTGAGACTGATGATATGTCAGAATGAATAATTCAGACTATGAAGAATTATCTCTGTAAGTTCTGTAATTATTTATAAGATGATTAATATAATCTTCTTCTACATGCAGAGATTGCTATCAACAGTTAAGATGCTATTTCAACAGATATAAGCTTATTCTTTCTTACACACAGATATCATATGAAAGTGTTGAATCTTCTAGAGACTACACAGTTCACACTAAATCTTCACAGTTCAATTCAGATCACTGATAATATAGTAATGAAACTCTGAGATGTCTGTGATTGAGCAGAGATCTTCATGATAACTGTAAAACAAGATCAAGAGAATTAAATCAATATTCACTGAGATTCTACTGAACAATATAAGATAGAAGATCTGATATGATTAAATCTTAAGAATATACAAATCACATGTTCATCTCATACACTAGATTACTGTTATATCAAGTATAAAGTGATAGAAGTTCTAGATAGCTATAACTACTATCTTGACATATCATCAGAGATTTATAATGTATTTCACACAAGCTTGCTTCACTGCACTATCATTAATTCATTCTCTTCTTAACTGACTTCTGACTGACAGTTATCAGACATCATAGAAGAAGATAATGAGCTTGAGTGAGAGATTGAGAATATTCTTCATAAGAGATTCTGTGACTGCAGCTGACAATATCTTGTGAAATAGATTGACTACAATTAACTGATCTAAACTCTGAGTTCCATGTTATCTGAAACAGCAGCTCTTGACTGATGAGAACTGCTTCTGAAAGAAGAGACTAATGTGGCAGGCTGCACCTGATCAATTATATAGACTATTTCATTACACTTCACAGATTTCAATCACTTCATTCTTAAATACATACACTCTGATTCTCAGTCATTCTCAATCACTGATTCTCAGCTGCTATGAACGCGTGTATATTCTCCTGCCCTGAAGCTCCACCGTGTATGCCACCACATACATGTATAAATATTCACCTCAATCACTGATTCTCGCACTTTCTCTTTCTTTCCTTCTTTAACATTTTTATCTTTGTTATATAAAACCTATCAATATTATACTGATCTATTCAGCGTAGGCCTCTTACACTACTCTTGTCACATTTTTCAAATAAGACCATGATTTCCACTTCTCAATTTAAATTATTTTTATTACTTTAAATGACTTTAAATCTCATTTAAGCATTATTAAAAAGTGTTACTTTTTAAAAAATTAAAAATAGTCTAAAAAAACCTTAAAATGTCTAAAAATAGTAACTTTATACCAAGAATGAGACTAAATGAAATCAAATAAAACCACTTTCTCATTTTTTTCAAGTCATGATTTCATTTTAAGATCTCATATATAGTCACTTTGCATGTTTTTTTAATAACTAGTTCAAGTGGGATTAATGCCAAGAAATGTATGAGACCAGATCAAATAAGATTAAACATGAAATTCATGATCTCAGCGGCCAGTCTAGCTGTGTCTGATCAATTATATAAACTATTTCATTACACTTCATAGATTCTACTGAAAGCTCTGATTCTCAGTTACTAATTCTTGACTGAAAAACTCATAGAATTTCTATTCTTCTGCTCTGAAGCTTTACTGTATATGTGAAATTTCTATTCTTTCATCTCAAAGCTTTACTACATATATGTATAAATATTCACTCTAATCATTAATTTCTGCACTTTCTCTTTTTTCCTTCTCTAATGTTTTTCACTTTTATATTATAAGATCTATAAATATCATATCAATTTATTCAGTGTAGACCTCTTACAATAGAAGATGATTTAAATACTTCTAGAATTCTTCTCAAAGCTCTATTTTACAGACTTTGAAAGCGTTCAGTGAAATTTCTTTAATTATTTCATCAAACTTGAACTTTATAATCAGCTACTGAGGTAAAAAGTCTCTAAAAGTAGCAACTCTATATTAAGAATGAGACTAAATAAGATCAAATAAGATTACTTAATTTTTCATGATCTTATTTTGAGATCTGATTAATAGTCACTTTTCATGTTTTTTTAATAACTGGTCTCAGCAGAATTCATGGTAAGAAATGTATGAGACCAGATCAAATTGAATCAAATGTGAAATTCATGGTCCAGCCGGCCAGTCTAGCCGTCAGCAGCTTACTTATCTGTTTTCAATACTGTATAACTCTCTCTAAGAGAATCGTCATATTGATTAAAATATCTGCTAACTATTATCTTCTTTAACTATTCCCAGCAAAATTTTCTATCTATGTTATATATGCAAAATACTATTGAGTCAAATAGAGTGAGTGATTCTCTCAAATGGCTTGATAAACCTAGAAAAGTCCTCTTTAGCTTTTGAATCCCCAATCAAGTGTTTGAAGGTTGCATGCCTCGCGGACTGGAAGCACAGGCCTGAATCTAGAGCCAATGGTGCGGTCCGGTCCAATCCCTGCCAACCGTCCACTGGACTGGCCCTCCGCGCCGCTGTGTGGAGAAGAATGGTAAAATATAACGTGGGTGCCAACTGCAAAACGACGGCGCAACCATGGTTCAAGAATACGAAAGACCTGGTGAGCTGCCCGCCGATTATGATCTGCAGCAAAGTGGGTCCGTGGATTTGATGGCTGATCGAGAACAGTCGCTCATTCCGCCCAGCACGAGGAAGGTTTTTATTTTTATTTTTTTTTCCATCTTGACGAGTCAACCGTCGACAAATCGCGCCATGACTCCATGAGTACCGAAGCTGGATGTTAAATTCAGCCTTCACCTGCCACACTTTTTTCACCTCGCTAAGGAATCAGAGGGATTTCAAACGATGGCCTGGCATCCCACACGAAGCAAGTGCTATCATTACAGCAATGCAGCCCGGGCTCACTATTATTGATTATTGAATTCCATGGCCGAAACAGCTGCTACTGAGAACAAAAAACCTACAGGAATTACTATTCAGAGGCTTGAGCTGGTGCATGCAGAGCAAACCTTACAGCTATAATGTATGGCGCATAACCTTCGCGATCTGAGAAACATTTGACATGGCATGGCCGAGAGATAACCCTGTTATCTGCCAGCTTCGCGGTATTTGGACCCGCGATCTTCATGACAAACACACAGGTCATGATCGCCGGCTTTTAAAGAGCCGAACAGGCGATTGCCGCGATTGATTATTTAAAGTGCTTGTCAACCTCGTCGAATCATTATCAAGGCCGACCCAGGGAACTATGCTGCTAGGGGGCTTGAGGAAGGGATAAGATTTTACGAAATCGGGCTTCAAGGCCAGCTTAATATCAATATTCGTTCCCTCTTGTTTCTAAAGGGTTGTGGAGTTATGACATGCTCTTCAATGCTCTCGACTCGATTCTCGCATGTCAGCGGGAGAGTATTTTGCCCACCTGATACACCTAGCAACTAGGTCCCGCTCAAGACGCCTTACCGACTATTTATCCCCTCGAAGAGGGAGCAATAATGGAACTATTCATGACCACCGTTTCATGTGGGGCCTGATCGAGCCCATAAGACTGGGGCCTTTACCACTATTATTACTATTGATACCAGTGGCTGTTTCAATGTTTAATACAGAGCTTGCAGCGGAAGATCGCAAGCAGGTAAACACGCACACATGGCCACTGATACACTTCAAGCATAAAGTTGACCCCCTCTTAAAATGAGAGGCGTGATGTACGGAGTATACAATTTCTGAAAGCTGGGGATTTGTCAGTGTCATTCCTAAATTGGTTCTGACCCCTCTCAGTAAACGCATATCTTGACATTTCTCTCATCTGGCGATAGCCTTATCATGCGTCAACAATGACTGTCTGGAGCCGCCTTCAACCCTTCATCAACATTATTATCGCTGACTTGTTTGCTAATTAGTGTGAGTTCGTCTATCTCGTGGCCGAAAAAAAAACCCCTCGAACCGTCACGAATTTGTGTTGATTGGTTATTTAATGCCGATAACTGCGCCAGACCGAAGATCTGTTTGGATTTTCCATTTCTGACTTTTTCTGACTTGGTGAAGACTTTGTCTCCTGGCCCAACTGGCCAGTAGGAAAAAGCCTCATCGACCTTCCTGCCCAACTGGCGCCTGATACCAGTTCCTTGGGTTCCGCTAGGTCCTGGCCAAAGAGGCAGTGTTTCGTACTGGCACTCTCTTGAAGAGCCCGTCCATCTCGCGAAATTTTCAAAATGTGGCTGTGAACGTCATGGGCGGTCATCGGTAAGGGTGGTTGGTATTACACCGCCTGCCTGCGCATGGGGAGGCACATGCTACACTTCATCGTAAAAGCAGCTGTATGCCATCTTTGCAAGCAGCAGCAGAGTTATGCTAACGCTGCTCTTTGTAAATATCCTGTTCTCAAATACACTGGTCTACCCTGGTATATTCAATATAGTACACTCCGTACTATATATATATATATATATATAACATAATAGAATAAAAATAGTTAAATAAAAGATAGAAGGTATCTAACCAAACAGTCCCCGACTGGGGGGATACACCTGCTGATACCTCTGCCTCTGAAGCCATGTCCACCATATACATATGCCATGCCTATGCCATGCCTATTTGCAATGGACTAGCCAGGAAGCTGTTCAAATTCAGCTGGCAGCATGATAGACGCCTTCTCGGTCCAAGATTGTCTATCCAGGCGTGTATTGCGAGGATTGCAGAAGCTCGAATGAAGTCGTATCAGAAATATCGATTACAGCAATTGCCTAACTTCGAAAAGATATCAATTAAATTCAAGAATAAACTGGGCAATACCGGATTCTCCAAGAATTTGTATGCACGGTGGCAATAATCAGAGTCCAAGTATTGTTTTTTATGACTGCCACCTTCATCGGTCAGCTTGGTGAAAAGGGGCAACCGTTCATTTCACGAGCAGGCTGACAGGGAGAGCCTTTGCTGCCAGTGCACCGCCTACATTATCTCCAGGCTTATCTTGACCGCAATGCATGCAATAATGTCGTGAATTTGTCACCAAAGCAAAGCAATCAACAGCCGCTTTTGATGCATGTTTCATGTATTAAGAAAACCGTGGACTGGACTGCCGCAGCGCGTCAAGATAGAGAGGAAATGCACACATTGAGAGATTCGTGTGGGGAAATCTACCTTTCCTGCGGCTGGCATGCCAGTACAACGATTGTCTGGTGCAAGTAATTTCCCCCCCTTCGATCCCGTTAGCGGCACTGTCAATAATAAATGACGAGAGCACTGGACAGAATCTGCCTACGCATAATATGCGAAGGACCCCCCATATCCGTTCTCCGGCGGCCGCCGCATGGCTAGCGGGTAAGCGAGCAGAGAACAGGATAAGAACCGAAATTAGCCCTGACAATAATAAATTACTGACCAGTAGCGGTCTAGTCTAGCAAGTTCGGACAGCGAGTTGCAGCGAATAACAACGAAGATTAATGGCCCAGAAGCAGTTGGCTGGCACCGAGAACATCGTCCTAACGAAGGTCAAAGTACCACCGGCCAAGGTCAAGTCCACCTCACCTCACCTCCTGAGTCCGGCCTGAACACGCCCCCAGCACTGGTGTGGATCACTTGCAACACAGCTGGGATGGACCGGCAAAAATAAAAACGACGGACTGTGCAACGATCGTTCAGCGGAAGCCATTCACACCACACCTCCTGGGGGGCTTTAAGCTCGCTGCCCAATTGTCGGCCGCCGGTATATGCCCTAGCGCATTATGTAGGGTCCACTATCACGCCCTCAACCATTCTCGTGGGCACGTTTCCATGCATCGGTAGCCCAGCATCTGAGGGTTTAGGCGCTGTTTTGTCCTTTTCTCACCACCGCTGGCTCTCGCAGAATCGCGCTCGCCAAGCGCATTGTTTCTCACCAAGCCCATCCCTTCCGTGGTCCCCGGTCCGTTGGTCCAAGCCTGTATTAGCTTTTGTTACGAGCTTAGAACGAGGCCAGGCATGTTTGATCCAAGCACGCGTTGGGGACAGGAGGTGCTGCTGCACTTGTCCGCCGCTCCTTAGTAGTATTATTTTATTATTATTGTTATTAGTATTATTGACTTCCATATTTCCTCCTCCGCCTGGTACTTTTCTTTGCTTTTTTGATGGTTGACCACTTGAAGATTTCCATTTCCAAAGATCCAACTTTCTTTCCCTTCTTCTCCCTTCTCTTTTTTCTTCTTCTTCGTCGAAAGAAAGTTACCTGCCCGCGTTGTTGACTGTCCCCCATACGTTCTTCATGCTGCAGCAGTGGAGAGCTACCCCATATCTTTGAGCTCTTGCTCTGACTAACATCACCTCTCTTTTTTTATTTTTTATTTTTATTTTTATTTATTTAGTTTTTGTTTTTTGTTTTTTTGTGTCCTTTACTTTTTTGTTTGCTTTCATTCTCTCTTTCCGCCCCCTTGAATATATTTGCAGTCGGTGCCTTCAAAAGCTGCTGGCTGGGAGAAAGCCTATCAGTTTTAAGCTGGGAAGTCACCCTGTACGGCATCAGCTTTTGGCCTTCATCGTGGCTGCGCTCGGAATCCGCACTTTTCCCCAAACGCACCTCGACTACACAAGGGCTACAGCTGTACAAGCCCGTGACTATACCTTTAACGGATTCTACCAAAACCAGAGTCAGTTGCCCTCCCTCTCTTATCTTCGACCGTCTGAGAGCCGGAGCATTCAAGAGGGAGGGAAGGATCGTCCATGTTCCGCTCCACGCAATCTATCCCTCGGTGGAGTGCAGGAGCTTATGTCGAAACGGCCACATGCATCAGATTTTCTGTCCGGCAGCCCGTCTCGCCGCGTACGCAAAACTGTCGCGACAACCGAATTATCCCCCCGGAGCCGGAATGATGGGACTGTTGAACCCCTAGAGCCACAACAAACTAGGGACAGCGGCCCTGCTCCATTGACGGGGAGGACGGGCTCCCCAGATCCGACATGGCGAACGGCGACAACCCGCTCCATAGGGATGCATGCTATTCTTAATCCTTCTCACACCTTAGCTACGGGACCCTCCGCCCACCAGATGAATCGCGATATTCCAGAACCCACCCCATCGACATCCCCCTCCCCATCGACCAACCCACACGCCACACCAACCTCAGCGGGATTAACCCCCCAATCAGACCGTTCAGTATCACAACATGACCGTACGATGTATTCCCCTCTACCACAACGTCATATCCTTACGGCAAGGTCGCCTGGAGTACATGCTCCAAGCATTGGGCCCAGCTATGGCCCCGCCCGTGGAACTATGACTGTGGAGCACAATCCGTTTCTCCCTCCGCAACAACCATATGGAGATACCGCCATGCGACCAACAATGGAAGCCCCGCCCTCAATGCGATATTCTCTATCTCATCCATCCGTTCCTTCGGCCACACTCCCTATCGATCCGCGCCCGATAACTGGACGACAAGGATCTGGGCCTCAAATTACAGCTCCAGGTACAACCCACTCAGCGTACAGTCCGTTAATCCAAGGTTCGCATGTCCCAGCGTCAACCAATTTGCTTCAACAGCCAGTTCCCTCTCTATCTCAGCCTACAGGGGCCTCATTTATTGGAGACGATAATCGGAGTAGAACGCCACAGGACGGCGGATCTAGTTATACGTTTGTGGGCGGACAAAGCAAGTTTGCTTCACCCAGGGATATTCAGTCACGACTGAGCGTCCCGGTTGATTTTGATTCTGGGTCACGAAAGGCAGCTGAGAAACGACTGAAGAATAGTGATGCATCCAAGCGGTTCAGGGAGAGGAAAAAAGTAAACGAGAAGGAAATGAAACAGGAAGTGGAAAGACAAAAGGACGACATTAAATTGTTGACAGAAGAGAGAAACTTCTACCGCGCCGAGCGGGACTTTTTCAGAACACTTTACGACAGAGAGGTTGGTTTGCATCGTATACCACCGCGACCTACATCTCCTCGGCTTCGCCAGTCATCTGCCCCTGTTTCTGAATCGGAAACTGAACAGCAGTTCCATGACCGCCGTGAAGGACTAGGTAGTGAGGGACATGTGCGCCAGCGGACGAGTTCTGCTCCAACCAGACTGCCTTTGCCCCCCATGTCACCGGCTCAACCGAACCCATACCCTACCTCTTGGAGCACTTCGACTTCAGCGACGCCCGTCTCTCAACCGGCGCGGTCCGGTCCACCCTATAACTATCCTACGTCATGTGTTCCTCCCGAGACTTCCTTGCCTCCTATACAATCCCCCGGAGAACCGCAAGATAGGAGCTGGAATTCTGGCACTTAGTTTGCAATATATATACTAGAATGTGTCAGATCTGTGGATTGCGATCTCTTCCCGAGCCTCCTCTCCCTTCTACATTTTATTTTATTGTTTTTACTTATTATTTATTTAAATCAACCTTTTGCGAGGTATTTGTAACAGATAAATGCTGCTTTGCTGTACCTCTATGTTTTGCAGTTTTTTAACATCGCAAGTTCCTAAAGACATATATATACTATGGTAAGATGAGGGCAACCTCGGGACGGACAGGAGGCGTCTAACTCGCGTTTTTTTATATTTTTTATAATTTTTGTTCCTTATCCCATTTCTCTTTTTTGTCTGTCGCTTATACTCTTCTCACAGTGCTTTTCTAATCTCTCCTTTCGATTTCTCCTCCATTGTTTTGTTTTGCACGTCACTTCTGGTCATAACTGCCCCGCCCATATCAACTGTAAGCTTTTGTCACACTTCTATATGTTAATTTCTCTGCATCCATTCAGGCTACACCGCTGTGCATGAGGACTAGATTGTGTTGAAGGCCACAGTTTTACTACATCTTTGGTTTGTTTTCGGTGTATCACGCAGATTGAAAATGGTGCTTGGCTTTTTGTGGCCTCTCATTTGTAGGAGGTTATTTTTGTGCATTTTCAGTTCTGGGCAAACTGGTTGTTCCTTACTGATCATGTCCTTGTCTTTTTTTTTGTTCCCTTTTCTTTCCATCCCTTTTATTTTCTCTCTTGCGTTCTTTTTTTCTTTTTTCTTTTACTTTTTCCTTCTTGCCATTATTCATATTGATACCCTGGGAGGCATAAATGATTTGCTTTTGCGAACATAAATTCCCTTGTTTTTTGTTCTTGCTATAGCTTCTTTCTCTTTCCTTTGTATCCTGGTATTCTTTATCCCGTTCCATTATTACGTTGCCCCTCTGTGACTTAACTTTTACTTCTTTGTGTACAATGGTTTTTTTTCCCTTTTTTCCCTTCCTTTTTTCTTCCAGCTTTGTCTCATTATACTGTAATAGCGGCATTTGGCTCTACCTTGGAGTCCCTATTGTTGGCATAGACTGAATGGCGAATTTGGAGATTTTTACTTGTTCCTTTTGTGTTTTGTTTTATACCCAGTTCAGATGCTGTTTTTATCCTCTTCAGCCCCGTGCACTCTGGATTCCCTTTTTTTACTGGCTGGTTTTCAATTCTTCCCGTTTGACGTACTTCCAAAGCCGATTCGAATCCTACTAGCAGGACACCATAAGAGTTACACATCCATTCCCTCTTCGTTTTATTCCTACGATGTTGTCATTCGCTACTGTGGACTAACTCTTCCTCACCGTCTACATGCTTTTCTTTTTTTTTTTTTTTTTTCTTTTTTTTTTTTTCCTCTTTTCTTATGTTCCGCCCTTCTCCTTATTCAATATTCTGTCTGTCTGTCATATGTTTTACCATTAAATTGAAGGATGCCTGCGTCGTAAATAAATGTCTGATATTTTCACACCATCCCCCCTCCCTCCTCCTTACTAGCATATATATAGCTATGTGTAATACCATACATGTGATGTAGAAGTACTTGTCCATTTCTAATTCCGAAACGGGCTTAAAATGCCTGAAACCAAATTGAAATTGAACATGGGAAATAACAAATATGCGAATATGCGGAGAAATAGTCCGTGCAGTATCTCCCCCCCACTTTTTTTTAACCCCAGTACATTAAACTGCCCAAAAACAACATTCCAATCACATACCCTCCCCTCCCCACCCCCATTCAGTTTACAAAGGCTTCCCCCTTTTTCTCCGCCCCCAATTTATTTCTGCAGCCCTGATATCACCTGACTGACACCTCATGCGTGAAAGGCGCCGGGCTCCGTCATTTCCTTGCAGATAAGCAGCACCCACCGGGACCCGGCCAATCGGGAATCCTCCTGCAGCCTTGCGCGCCGGTGGATTATGCTTTTGACTCTTTCGGGAGGGCTAATTAGGGCTGGGTGGGGTCAGGTGATTTGCGTGATGATCCCGTCTGCTAGGGCTTCTTGGGCCGTGGCACTAGCCTGGTCTAGGACTAGTGTGATGCTATCTTTGGACTCGGCTTCCGATTGGTTTGTTTCCCACCAACGTATTACATAAGCTAGTCTACTTCTAAATTCTCCTCTCCTCCCGCCTTTGGCTGCTGCGTGGGGTATTTTTGTATTTTGCGGTGGAATTCTCCCAGAGCGTTCTCTAGCTGCGGGTTTTATCTATTGGTTGCTTGTATCCTTGGATACACGAGGACTGGCATCCTATCCGGCTACTTGCTAAGAAGCGTTACGTATATAACTACCCCCTCATGCCCGGCTGGCATGTTCCCTTTCTCGCAGTCTTTCTTGACATGCTGCTGCAACCTGTTCTTGCGCGTCCCACGCCTCCTACCGGATCGGATCAAAAGTCTCAGCGTCCGGTTTTTCCATAACTATATGAATGCGTCTTGTGACCCGGGACTGTCATCGCATCCATTTCGTCATCCCTTCAACCTGATAGCCCGCCAGTTTGTCCACTCTTCTCCTGTGTCCGGTTGCCGGTCCTCAATAATAACATTAAGTAGACATCGTGGGCTGTCATCATAAATACTATACGTTTTGGGGAGGCTGCGAAATCATATGTCCTGCTGCTTGAGGAAGTTTTGCCGGCGCATCTCTCCAGCCAGTCAAAGTCGCATTTGAGCCAGGCATTGGTGCCAAAAGTCTCCAGAGAGCTCATTCATTTGCCTTTTTGTGTGGAATAGTGCATTGTTTATATTGACCGTTTCTTCTTGACGTGTTTATTTCTGCCCTTTGAGTCTACTCTTCTTTTTTATTTCCTTTTGTTTTTTATTTTATTTTTGTCACTGAACGAGCAGTTGCAGTTTATTTCTGTTCTTAATGCGATGTATAGTGGATAGCAGTGGTTACCATTCTCTATTAACGGTTTACATGGGGCCTCGTCTTCCTCTATCCGACGGAATGCCATGGTAGAAATCAACGACCAAACCGCGCTGCTGGCATGCCCTGATGCAGATGGCCGCGGGGATCAACATGTCGGATCAAGAACATCTACATCACTTGATATTGGGGCCTCTAGTAGGCGCCGGTGGTCTCATTTTGACAGAAAACATACCGCTTTCTCACTGAGGGAACGCTGCGTTACTGTCTCCGTTGTGCTATGCTTGATGCTGATATGCACGGTGTTTATTTACGCATTGTAAGAAACCAAAAGCGATGAAATCCTTGCCCAATCAAATATAATACTTGCTGATAATGTATGCAATAGCGTTGTCCGTAATTCTGGTCGCGACCTGGTATGCAGCACAGTGCAAAATGGATACCAATGCCACCAAAAGTACTCCCAATCATGGGGCCAATATTCTCCTTTCTTTTCTCTGCAAACTATCTCAGAGATATCTCCACAGGTTCCCATTGGTTGCACTATTACTTTCGTCCAAGTTCTCTCGAGACATGGAGCAAGATATCCAACCGAAAAAAAGTCTGCGATTTACTCGCAACTCATTAAGCGCATCCAGGATCGTACAGAGACATACCTTGGAGACTTCGCATTTCTAGAATCCTTCACTTATCCTCTGCAATCTGAAGATCTTACGTCATTTGGGGTGTCTCAGATGATAGACTCTGGAACTAAATTCTACCGTCGTTATCGGCACCTAACCAAAGAATCCAACATTTTTATCCGAGCATCAGGCTCTCCACGGGTAATCGTGTCTGCAGAGAAATTCATCGACGGCTTCCATCAAGAGAAACTATCTGACCCGTCTGCAACCGATAAATCCCGCAAACCGTCTATCGGCGTGGTAATCAGCGAAGAACCGGGCTCCAACAATACTCTAGACCACGCCAACTGCAACCTCTTTGAAGATGCCAAACCAGGCCTAGTTGCACAGGCAGAGTTCACAAAAGTCTTTGCGGCCCCAATCCTGAAGCGCGTCAACTCCCACCTTATCGGCGCGAACCTCGACATCGCTGACATCCCCTACCTAATGGACCTCTGCTCTTTCCACACCGTCGCCATCACCCCAGACGCAAGCACCATCTCTCCCATCTGCACCCTCTTCACCGACGAAGAATGGACCCAATACGACTACTACAACACCCTAGGAAAATACTACGGGCACAGCACTGGAAACCCACTCGGCGCCAGCCAGGGCGTCGGCTTTGTCAACGAGCTCATAGCCCGCCTAACAAACACGCCAGTCACAGACTCCACCACCGTCAACCATACGCTCGACTCTAGCCCACACACCTTCCCACTAGACCTGCCCCTCTACGCAGACTTTAGCCACGATAATACCATGGTATCCATCTTCACAGCCCTGGGGCTCTTCAACGGCACGGTGCCCCTCCCCAACACGACCGTGCGCAGTCCGGCGGAGAGCAAGGGCTTTTCCGCCGCCTGGATGGTCCCGTTTGGCGCCAGGGCGTACATAGAGAAGATGGAATGTGATTCGACGCCTATGGCGAGGGAGCCGCTGGTTCGGGTGCTGGTTAATGACCGCGTCGTGCCATTGCATGGGTGTAAAGTTGATGCGTTGGGGAGGTGCCGGTTGGAGGACTTTGTAGAGGGGTTGAGCTATGCGAGGGGAGGGGGGGATTGGGGGAAGTGTTTTATTTGAAATTCTTTGTTCTCTTTCTTTTTTAAAAAAATCAAATGAACGGGTACGGTGATGGGAGTTAAGGGACCTGGTCCAGGAGGGATTTGTCTCCTTTTTATTTATTTTACTCCTTTTTTTCCTTTTCCATTTTTTGCGTTGCATCGTCCCCTGATGATGCTTCGACTAAACCCTGCCTCTACCCCGGCCTCTTCCGTTGTTTTTCAACCTTTCCGTGATATTGGCACAAACTGGCTGTCCGTACCCCTGTCCCCCTGCTTTCCCCCTTCTTTTCTTTTCTTTTCTTGTCATTTTTTTTTGTATGTTCTTAGCATGTTAATGTTTCATGTCCATGTTGCACGGCCTCACGACTTTTCACGTTTCAGCAAAGACGATCTGGGTATACAACGAATCCAATC